AATATTAATCGTCAATCATATGCATGCACATGTGAATATGCTTATGACAAATATTATATAATTGTCATGTGTATTCGATTCTTACAATTGTGGTTCTACTATGGTGGTTCTGCTATGATGGTTTGCTGATTAAATTTCTGCTATGGGGCGGTGCAGATGGTGAGTCTGTCGCCTGAGAAAATGTTAGGGCTCAAATGGGGGAGGGGGAAGAAGAGAAAATAAGAAAGGAAAGAAGAGAGGAGGGAAATATGGATTCAGGTTGAATTTAACAATGTCAATACAATTGACGTGTTTTAATTAAAACGTCAAATTCATTGACCTTTTTAAGGATCATCCAACATCTATATTCTGGGTTAAAGGCGTTAGTTGCTCTGACGTTTTTTGGCAAAAAATGTTAGACCAATTGACGTGTTTTAAACTACTTGAGTTTGAGAATTATTTTCAAGTCAACCATTTTTTGGGATATTTTTTTCAAATCCCCATGGGATGGGTCAAAAGCTCAATAGGATGAGTGTCTTGATGTAATACATCCTCGTGATGACCTTCAGTTTAGTTTCTAATATAATTTTATTTCCTTGACAAAAATAAAAAATAATACTAAAGGCACCTGTTATGGCGTAAATCTAACAAACGACTTCATGCAATTAAACAAAATAAAATTTGTTGAACTTACACAAGAAAATTTGACCTCAATAAAATTTTCCTGTCTATCTAAACAATGGAAAGTCTTTCTTTCCATCCCATTTTCGTTCCCCCCCTAACTTTCAATCAAATCAAACAAGCTATTATGTTTATTGCATGATCTACGAGAAACAAACAATAGACAATATTACATAAGTTATCTCTTACTTTCTCTTTCCATTTTTGCATGTGCCACTAAATATCTATATAATAAGAGAGTCAAGTATTTGAATTTTATTTTTACATATTTTTTTTTTGTTCTATTTTTATCGCATCACCTATTTTTATCACAAGTTGAATCATTTAATTTTTAATTAATTTGTAACTCAATACAATTATTATTTCAAACATTGTTTATATACAATAATGTATATTTTGTTGATATTTTTTTTGAGGTCATCTATTTTGAAATTTTTTTTGCTTTAAAAAATAATGGGTAGAAATTTTTGAGGGAGAGAAAAAAAAATTATTGTTTTAAATAGTGAGATTGATTTTTTTTATGCTCAAATTTTATATTAAAACGTGTCTTCTGGTATTTAATATTCAATATTTACTTACCTTGTTGATTGTCACATCATTTCGGTTTATTTTTTGTCCCATTTTTTAATCTGTATAGTATTATTAATAATTTTCCACCTTGTGCGTATTTGGAAGAAACCCTTTCAAGATCCAGACGGGCATATCTGAGCTCAATAATAAGCAATCAAAAGCAAAAAATATCAAGTGTAAGGCTTCATCTTGACGGTAGGAACTTCCATGGGGAATGGAAATTATATTCCTCAACTATAATATATTATTATATTTGGAGAGTTAATAAATAAATAATTCAAATTGGGAAGAAATATTAATAGTGTAATTAAATTTTCAACAATGGTGGGTATATTCTAAAATCATGTTCAATGATGGTGTTCTCATACTCTTGGCCTTTAGTCTACTTTATTCTCTCAGTTCGTCAACTGCAGGATATTTTGGACAAAAAAATGATCGGGTGTTCTTAAAAATGAACAAAAATTCCAAAATAAAGCTATTTTTTAAAAATTAATATAATTTATAAAATTAAGCTCTCTTCCTAAACTCAAATTTTTGAAAAAACAAAGTATATTCCACAAAATAAACAGGGTTTAGGTAATTAAAATATTAAATATGAGATTATTATAGTAAAAAAATTCAAATAACTATTTGATCGAATGAAATGCCTACTTCTAATTAGAATTACTGTCATCAAAACTAGGCTTTTTTATAAAAATTAGAAATGCATGACGTGCGTTGCACGTGAACATATTTAAATAAAAAATTTAATTATATTTGTAATTAAATTTAATAATAAATTATATGTCAAATAATTTATTATTATTTTAACTATTGCTAAATCTAATTATTGATTTATTATACTCCTCTTGGAGTACCTAATCTATCATTTTTTTAGGTATCTCTTTGGCCCCTTTAAACATTTTCTTTGTTGTTTATTTTGAACATCTAATTATATTATAGATTTATTATATTTTATTAACAAAGAGATTTATTATATTATAATATTATTATTTATATAATATTTGTGATATTGTTGCATACTAAAAAAATTAAATATGACATATATTTGACTATAAAATCCAATCTTACACCTACTTGTTAATAATGGATCATACTATTTATATATGTATATTATACGTTGATCAGAGTTTTCAGAGTTACAATTGCAATTAAAGATCTAATGCTATATGAATAAGTGGACGGTTAGAGACTTAATATTATCTGATAAGAAGACTTTTAGTTCAAATGAAATTTATAGGCTTATTAAGACATGGAAGGAAAAAGGATATTAATAAAGATATGTGGGGTATAATTGATGTTATAGTAATAATTGAGCATAAAATAGAAAATCAAAAGTTTTTCATAAATTATGTCATTTATAAGTAGTATTATATATAGATATAGATATTCTTTATATCGTGGATTTTATGCCTATTCCCTCGCTTTCACGGTTTCTCACACCCTTTGCCTACGTTATCACTAGCAGATATATACATTGAATCCTCAGAGCCGCAGTTGTGTAGTTTCTATTTTTTGCTTCACTATCAAGCATGTAATCCTCTCATTTTTGGCTAAAGAGACATAATTTATACAAAAACACTGAGGTAAGGTACATAAAGAAACGTTGAGGGAAGGTAGTTTTCAAGAAATAGCTTGTATCTTCCTTTCTTTAAGTACTAAGAAATTGTAGAAACTTAGAATATAAGAGAAATTGAAGATAGAAGAATGATAGAAAAGTAGGACATGAAGAAATATGTGGTTCGGTACACTACCTATATCCACGTATGGACCTAACACTCTATAGACTATATTTGATATATTATTGAAGGTGATTGATTACATGAAGCTTAACCCTATTTATAGAAAAATCACATATATTTGTCATCGTCCCTATTTATCAAAACAAACCAAGATATCGATAAATTTCTTTGAATCTTATCGTATCTCTAACTGGATATTGATATATATCTCTAATAGAAATGACCATAAATTTTGGTATTGTTTATGAGGTTAACTTTGTCGTTTGCCACTAGTTCATGTTCTAGTCCAACGCCCAAGACAATCTGGAAGCAATAAATACTAGTAGGCGTATTGGTAAAAAAACCATGAGTAATTATCAATAAATACGAGTAGGTGTAAAATTAATGGTTGTGATTATCAAGTGTAATTTTTAAGTCCATGTAGTATTTACTCAAAAATTATAGTGATAAATTACTCTATTATAACGTAAATGTTATGAGTTTGAATGTCCGAAATAGTCTATTCGTTTGCGGAGAAAAGATGTGTGCACATAGATACAAGTGTTGTCCTACCCTTTTGGGTACATTGACCATGAAAAATTAATAGGTCACCATAGTGTAATGTTAATGCATGTCTACAATATTATAAGTAAGACTAATTATAATTGATCATGAATAATGTTTGTAATACGACGGTACATTTTTAATTTCCAAAACCAGGGTTACTAGCCCACGGATATGCCCATGTTGGAAGTAGAAGTGAAGTATCTCTCAAGAAATGAGAGTTTGCAAACATCCTTCTCCTCTTTTTAAGAAGTACACAACCAAGAATATTTGATGATGCAGCAACATGGGTTTAGGTCAAATTGGTTTTGCAGGCATACCCCTTATTTTCTATGTTATTTCCTCTACGCCCCAATAATCCTAGATTGTTTAAATTTGACCCTTTATTAAAACACAATATCCATATCAATAGTTAACACTGAAGAGAACTCTTTGCTGAAATATGCACATACATACATGCGATTACTCATTTACCCAACACAACTGAAGACCAGAAAACAAATAAGCCGATAATTCACTATCAATCCCAAAAAGGGTGTACTTCAATCGAAGAGAGAGATTAGTAAATCTTGGATCCCAAATTTTGGGTCAAAAAAATCCGGATAGTCCAGACCACTATAAGCAAGAGTTTTGTGCACCCATTACGAATCCGTTTTTATTTAACTTTTATGTAGTAAGTTCAAACTCATAAGGAGAAACAAAATTTGCCAAAATTGCAGGGACCAGTGGAAAAAAAAATCAGAACTCAAATAATGCTCGTTTTTAAGTTATCCAGTTCTTTGCTTTTCTATTTCGTATCTCATTCCATTAAGTGCAAGAAGGAATTCCTATAAAATATAATTAAAAGATCATAGCTTCTGAATAAAATAATTCCCATAAATTATTAGTACAATCAAAATTTCAACAAAGCCCCATTAAAATAAAATAAAAAAGGGTAAATAGTATTTTTAGTTCCTAAAGTATGTACATTTTGTCAGTTTGATCGCTAAAGTATTAATTTTCTTAATTTGTTCCTAAAGTATTCAATTTTTATTTAAATGGTCCTTACATGAATGAACCGTTAAATTTTTGACGGAATGATAACATATTGGACATGTGATACCGTCTAAAAAAATGACATGTAATTACTTTTGTAAAAAACTTAATGAATTGTTTGATTAGAGACTAAAGTGATACGAATTGAAACTTTAGTGACCAAATTGATAAAATTGATACAATAAGGACCAAACTGACAAAACAGGTATATTTTAAGGACTAAAAGTGATATTAATCCTAAAAAAAACCCTACCACTTTCCTTAGTGTCTAAATCCCAAAACCCTGCTTGAATTAAGCAGTCAGTTGTTTGAAGCACAAGTTTCTTACTGGACTCCCATTCATGATCAACAAGGATAAAGCATAGATGAGCAATATAGTTCATTTAAATTGCGTCTATTGCAATATCAATATTCTCCCAAATCTCCTGATTTGAACTGTCAAGAGACAACATGGCTGTTGAAATGGAGGAGCCTGCAGAATCTGAAGCAATTCTAGAGAATGTGTGGGCTAATTTTATAGCCAAAGATGATGTTGTCAAGCAAGGTGAAACTACACCCGAATCGTTGAAATCATGGGAAGGACTTCCTAGGCTCCTAGCCTTAATGGTGGAGAAGGGTCAATGGAAGTTCTTCAAAGGCTACCAAGTCTAGGTAGGTGGATATCAATGGGAGCTGAGACATGGGAGGAACTTTTTGATGGAATTATTCCTTCATTATCCAATACCGAGACTGCACCGTTTCATGATCTTTAATCAAGAAGCAGTAACACGCTATCCGAGGAGATGCTCGTTAAATGTAAGACTCAACAAACGCCAAAACAGATTGTTACTGAGGCGAATGGTATGAAAGTTGATCAGAAGATGATCACAAGACACCATAGAGGAGTGAGGAGGAGGCCATGGGGTAAGTATGCAGCAGAAATAAGGGATTCATCAAGGACAGGAGCTAGAGTTTGGCTTGGGACTTTTGACACAGCTGAGGAAGCTGCTTTAGCTTATGACAAGGCTGCATTAAGACTTAGAGGCCCTTATAAGGCATATCTTAACTTCCCAATTGAGACAGTTGCTAAAGCCATGGGAATTATCCATTCAGAAAATTTGTTGAATCCTTCAACAAATACTTCGCAACCAACAGATGATTCAGCTGGCACATTTCTTGGTTACGGGGACATAAATGCTAACTCTCGGAAAAGAAAATTGAGAGAGTGGGTGAGAAACGAGAACTTGGTTGTGAAATTGAGCTCGATTTCAACTCTAGTTCGCCCCGTCACAATTGAACCGAGGTTGAAGAGAATGGCTAGATTGGAGGAGACATTTGGAATTGACTTTGGTGCATTGTTGTTTCAGGATCTTGGAAGTGATTACTTGGACAGTTTATACTGTCCTCTTTGTGACAATTTTTAGATTATGTTTCAAAATTTAAAAAAAAAAAATTATATATGAGACAATATGATCTATTTATGTCCATATGCTTACTTCTATGTATACAAGTTCATGATATTAATTGGCTGTATTACTGTCTAATTAGACTTGGGTGGTGTGAGATGTATATTTGCAACCCAAAATGTATAGTTTGTTGTAATTCTCATTAGTCATCACACTCAAGTGTCAACTTAACACCACTCGAGCCGGTAGTCCAATGGTAAGTCGTACCTGTTTAAGGTTGTTCTTGACTTTCATATAATTATCAAGGAGGGTTCGACTCATGAGGGTAACGTGGTTTGCTGCTTGACTTTGATGGTACTGTGTTGACGGGCTTGTAAAACCCGGGTAAATTTAAACTTTTCACAAAAGGGGCAAAACAGTAATTTGTCGCTACGGTACGGGTTGTAAACTTAAATTTTTTTAGAACTAGGATGATGAAACGGACCTCACTGTTGGATTCATCTCACGAAATCTAGGTACCCTGTTAAATTTCATCGAATTCCGAGATAGTCAGATTTTTTACGTTTTACGAGACAGTCGAGTCTCAGGTGACCCAAAAATAAAATTTTTAATAAAATTTCAAAAGTTGAAAAATAATTTAAAGCAAGTTAAAATAAAAATATTTTGAACTTGAACTGGAGCGAAATTTAATTATTTCGAGGCAAAAACGGATCCGAAAAAAAGAGGGTCGTATGACGCGTTGTGGGCCAAATATTATAAGGCTATAAATAGGGGAAAATCTGATTTCTCCTCCATTTGATCAACCGGTTTCAATGTGAGAAGAAAAGAGAGAGAAAAAGAGAGATTTCTCACCTTCTCTCTATGATCTATGCAGATTGAGTGATCGAATCAACTTAAGCCAAGAACAAAGATTGTTCTACGTGGCGAGGGCTACGAAACCATACCAAGAAGGATGTATTTCACTGAATTTCCAAAAATGAGCTTGGAGAAATCAAGGATTTTTGGCGAGATTGAAATTCATGAAGCTTCCTAACGTCGTTTTACGCTTCAAGAGATAGGGTTCCTTCCTACTTTGGTTTATTTTCTAACCTAGGGTGCTATATGAAATGGGTAGGTTGTTCTAGACTTAACATTTACCTATGTTTGTGAAATTGATGAAATGGATGTTGAAAATAGGAATGAAAATGGGTATAAAAATGGTTTAAACTAAATTCCTAGCTTGGAAATTAATATGTGGGAATTACTTGTGGGATTCCATGAAATTTGTTATTATGTAGACATGCTATGTGTTTATATTATGTCTTATGAATGAAGTGTGTTATTGGCATATATTATGTAATGACATGCTTGGAATATGTTGTTGAAATAAAATGTTGATATATGTTCATTGATATATTAGCATTGTGAGAAAGTTTGGTGATTATATGCGCATGATATAATTGGTCATAGAATATGTAGATATGAGGTTAAACTTGCTCATGTGACATTCATTACATATGGGTATGATATTGATTAAGTATGGTGCATTACATTGCATTTGTATGGAGCAACCGCATCCATGGACATGAGTGTGGGTGTATGTTCATGGTTGATATCAAACACCACATAAGTGGATGATGGGTGGGCTCGGGATAGTTGGATTGATGATTCGACTGAGTCGTACGGTTGCATGAAAAACTTGTGTCGGGTATAGCAAGAAGGGCTAGACTCTCCCTCGGGTGCAAGACCCGGCTACTGGTTTATACACTTCCGATGGTGCAAGTCCAAAAAAGTGTATCGGTGTGCGGAGCCGGTGGTGAGACACCAAAAGTTTGCTACCCAACAAAGACACATGATTTTATTTTATAAAAATTGGCATTTGATGTGTAACATCAAAGATGGATTTATTACACATTGGCATATCATTGTGTGGTGGTGGCAGTCGATGAGGGCTCGAGTTAAAGTGCATGAGTGACTCTCATCTCATTTCATGACATGACATAATAGAATTTCAACTTTGAACTGCATATTCTTGTTTGGGATCGTTGCTTTATAAATGTGGTATGTAAGCATTTCATATGCATCTAAGTTGAGAGAGTAGCCACTGTAGGAAATACTCTACTAGGTGTGGCTCACCCTATACAGGAAAAAATTTCAGGTACGGGATACACGCCGAATGAAGGCCTTCACATGGGACCTCAATGATGAAGAAAGCCGAGATGTGACTTTATTTTGAGTTTTTGTAAAATTGTTATAAAAACTTGGTTTTGGCATGTAAATCATTGTAATACAATTGGTATGGACCTTGTGTTATATGAAAATTGACATTACACATGTGTTTGATGGAAGGGGGATAGGTTGGAATGAGTTGGGAATCAAAAACAGGTGAAACAAGTAAAACGGACAAAGCCTACCGGTACAACTTTGTCCAGTAGGCAAACCCTACAGGTATACCCTATTGCTAGGAATTTTCCAGTAGGCAAACTCTACCGGTAGGAATTTTCCAATAAGCTCACCCTACCGGTAAGCCTTCCAAAAATCTGAAATTTTAAAACTGTTTTGTCATGCTCCTAGGCCATGTGTCCTTCCTTCCAAATGATATAAATGGACTATAATGGAGTATGAAATATGGTACATTAGACCACGATTGGATTAAATGATAAAATGCACATGGGGTTACACGTGTGGGTTATAATTTTGGTTAAGGGGATACTATTGATATGATGTCGGGTTGTGCGACAATCACGAGTACTTTCGCGGGTTGATGGGTGGTCAACGGTTGAAAAAAGACCCCTAAAAAAAAAAGTGTCAATGCAGCTTAAATTTTGTTTATAAGAAATGCATTGAATTGGTAAATAAGATGCATTAATTTCAAGAGGACCAAACACATACTCTCAAAATAATCTGAGTTTAGTCTAGTTGGCCACCTTATTTTACATCGAGATTCTACAAGGAGTCTATCCTTACCAAAGGGAAGGATTCGTAACTTGTATCTTTACTTTTGGGTTATATTCTACTTTGTTTTGTCATTTGCTTTTGAGGATTGGATTGTATTCTTCTTTCAAATTTAGTAATCAGCAAAAATAAATTATGAGAGAATCAATTTAAGAGGTTTGAAATCTTTCATTGAAGATCTATTACTACATAAAAGTCACATGATATTAGTCAATAATAATCTGCGGGATAGAGATAGATGAACATTAACTTTTGATGAAATGATAAAAAAGAAACGATTGCTTGTGATCTAATAGAAAATATGGCTAGTACTGATAAGAATATATGATGTTAATCAAATAAATTTGACTAATACTAACTAACTAGTTATTCCTTGTGCCTGAAGGCACGGAGTAATAAAAAAAATTGTCAACATATTTATATTCACACACCAAAATCAAATTACAAATATAGATGAGAGATAAAAAAATTTAAACATCAATTGTAATGGGGTGAGTGGTAGTAGTGATGGTGGTTGATAGTGGTGATGATGGGAGATGATGATGGTTGTGGTGGGTAAGGCGACGACCGTGGTGGTGGTGGTAGCCGTGGGTGGCAATGGTAATGGTGGTGGTGAGTTTTGAGTGATAATGATAGTAGTGGCAGTCGTTAGTGGCAACGGTGGTGGTGGTGGGTGTGGGTGGTGATGGACGACGGTGATGGTGGTTGGTAGTGGTGGTGGTGGAATGACGATGTTGGTGGTGGGCAGTGATGATGGTGGTGGTGGGCGACGATGGATGCTTCTAGGCGATAGTGTGATGGGTAGTGTGCGAATGGCTGTGGTGATAAGCGTGATAGGGGTAGGTGACAGTGGATGGCTGTAGTGGTGGGTGATGACAGGTGGTGGTTGGTGGTGGCAGATGTGGTGGGGTCATTAACAGTGGCTAGTGGTGGTGGATGCTGACGGTAGTAGTGGGATGATTGTGGTAATGATAATAAATATGAGAATAGAATGACGATTGTGGTGAGTTGTGGTCATGAACGACGATGGTAACAATCGCTGAAGGATGGCGATGGTGGTGGTGGCAGTAGGGCAGTGGCGATGATAGGGGTGGCAGTGGTGGGTTGGTGATGGTGGGAGTAGTTGTGATGGTCATAAGGGTGGTGGGTGGGGGTGGGACAGTAATAGTAGTGGAGGTAAGATGCGACAACAAGTGGTGATGATGGTAGGGTGCGGTAGCGGTGGTGGTGGGGCGGTGGAAGGGATGGTGGTGGTGGGACGATGGTGGTAGTGGTAGTGGTAATGGTAGTGATGATGGTGGGGGTGGTAGTGGTAGTGATGGGCGATGGTGGTAATGGTTATGGTGGTTGTGGGGTAATGGAAGTGGTGATGGTGGTGGCAGCGACGGTGTTGGTAAGGTGGGCCGGTGGTGGGTATGGCAGGGTGGCGATAATGATAGTGGTGGGGGTGGAGTTAGTGGTGGTGGTGATGGTAGTGGTAGTGGTAGTGGTGATGGTGGTTGAACGGTGGGGGTGATGGTGGTAGAGGTAGTGGTGGGGTGATTCCAAAAATTATTTTTTTTAAGTACTAATGAAAAATAATTCTTAAAGACACTTTTAAAAAGTCACTGCAAATGCACCTTTAAAAACTTATTTTTCTTATTAAATTTAGATTTTAATATTAAGTTGTGTACGGTATCAAAAAATCACTTTTAAATTTAGGCTTGTGTACACTTTTAAAAAGTCACCGCAGAAGTTGTGTACGATATCAAAAAATAAATTTTGGTGTTGTACTTATTTTTATTATAAAAAATTAATAAAAAAATTACCAAAAAAAAATTAATAAATTTTTGTGCCAAAAAAAAGCGATAAAAGTTACTGCCACAATAATGATAAAAGAACACTCACAAATATAATAAATCACCTACAAAAATAATAATTTTTTATAACAAAAAATAGTAAAAATAGTTATACCAATATTGATAAAAATACTCACAACAGTAACAAAAATATTCATAAATGTAATAAATTATCCACAAAAATAATAAATTTTTTAGTTATAAAATGACCTATAAAATTATAAAAATATTTATTAAAATAATAAA